TCACAGACTTCCAATTCATAATATAGTTCAACTTTAATTTAATTTGATTCGAAAAAATAATTAATAAATTAATAAATAAATAAATTAATAAATTAATAAATTTATAAATTTATAATAACAAAATTTTACTAATTTTTATTTGATTATCAATTACGTGAAACAAAAATATTGATCAACCAATCACAAGATTTTTAACTATGCTATAAATAATTAGTGTGTACGCGTCGATCAAATAACAAACCTTTCTTTTATAAATTTTAATAAAAATGCCACAAAAAAGAAAGAACATTCAAAGAACAAAAAACCAAGAAACTAAAGATACATATGGGTAAGTGTTTTAAGGATGGTGGTGGTGGTTATCGCCCACTGCTTGTAGTCACTCTAGTTCTAATTAACATTTTGGTTTTTATGTTTACTTAATATTAGGAATGGTAGTAGTAAAGATAAAAAAGTCATAAAGAAAATGAGGAAAGATAGTGAGGAAGAAGAAGAACAAAATGTTTTTGTTGGTGAAATTAGACATATTAAAAATAAACCTGAAGATATTAATTTAGTTGTGGCAAAAAATTTTAGGAAAAGCAAAAATCAATTTTTTAATAACTTAAAAAAGATTCTTAGTTTTGAATGTTTTTACATATTTGAAAATAGGTATTTATTAAGATCGGACTGTTCATCAGTTTGGATTAGAAAGTTTAAAGGTGAGTTTATGGTTTTTGTAACAGTAAAAGTAAAGGAATTAAGAGGCTTGATGGGAAATCTTACACATTGGGAATACGTTCTAAATGAGAATGAAGATAATCATGAAATTAGTATGGATGCAGATAGATTTGTTATAAGTTTGCCAAATGAAATATTGATGAAGATTTTAAAGTATTATTTCGAAGTTTGATTTTTTGTGCATTCAAAAAAAACATAATTTACAAAAAAATCTTGTATATACAGTAGTTTATATATCAATTTAATTTTAATTATATATATTAGAAGACTAATAATAATAAATAAATAAATACACACTCTTAATTCTAACCTTACGGGTATATCAAGTGAACAAAACAATTCTTACCTTTAATTGAATAATTATTCTTCATCCAATAGGGATGCCCGACAGATTTGTAAATGCTTATATTTTTTGGAAGACTGGCCAGCAGAAAGTCTTAGTTAATTCTAAGTGGAATTATTATTTTTTGGAAAGATCTAGGCAGGAAGACTTAGTTATTTATGGAGAACTAAGTGGTTGAAATACCTAAACGGTTTCCCATAATAGATCTGATGTAAATGAGTTTCACATTATTATTTTTACATAGGAGTAGTTCTATATATCAAAATAATAAATGGGATATTATAAACTGTTAATTATGATCACATTACAAATGACTAAACTTTGATCCCTGAAATTCTTGGTAATACAAATGTTCACTTTGTCTGGTTTTGTTGCAGTATGCCCCAATTTATGAAATAAAATTGATTTTTGCAAGTTTTATAGTGAAATAAGAAACCAAGGAAAACTCCAATTAACAACTTGCAAAAAAATTCACCATTGAATGTAAGCATTTTTTTTAAAAATGTTATTATGGATGAAAATATTTATTATTTGTTTTTTTTTTAAACCAAAATAAAATTATTGATGGTGATTATTAGAAGGATTTGTTATTTACCTGAAAATTAAGTGAATTGGTAATGTTTTTATAATGTTCCAATACAAGGTGGGATTATTTACCTTGCTTCAACTTTAATGAGAGAAAAACAAAGATTTATAAACATATCCTTGAATGTAAAATTTGTTCAAACAAACCCATTTTTTTATTGATAAACAATGCAATTTATGATTATTTACCTTCTAAGGATTTCTGCTTTTTATTAGGTAATAATGCATCATCATGGTGCTTTCTTTTTTAACATTTATTATTTTTCTTTCTTCTTGATAAACTTCATAGGTAATCCCTTCTTTGTCTAAATATGTTTGTAAAGATTTGATATCTGCTAATTTAAAAATGTAAGGAGCAATTTTTTCACCTTGTTCTTTCCTCAGAATACTTCTAATGGTGCTATAATTCTTGGGTTCCATAGTAGATCTGATGTAAATTAACTTCATATTAACTATTTTTATATAGAGGTAATTCTATATATCAAGAAAAAACAGATATAACAAATGGGGATTTTAATAATCACATTACTAAATTTTGATCCCTGAAATTCTAAATGCTCACTTTGTCTGGTTTTGTTGCAGCATGCCCCATATACAGTCAAATCTCATTTCAATAAATCTATGGTAGAGTTTCTGTTTGTAATACAATTTTTTATTTAAATTATTCATAATACAATTTAACCTTGATTCAAATTTATTTGTCCTCATTCACATCCAATTTTCAAAAAGAATACAATGTTTTCATGTTGATGAGTTCAACAAAGTCATCTAGGATTACTCACTCATTCCAATTACTGTTGATGAAGATGAAAGGCGACCAACAGAAAGTTCAATAAGGAATTGGTGTCAATAATCCAATCATTAATTGGATCATTGAATGAAGCTAACCATCCACAGCTCAAGAGACTAGCAACAAAGAAAAAAGATGGCTTATTGTTGATTTTACAACAAGTTAAAGATCTTCACAACAAAACAGAATTGATTTGACTATTACTGTATTATTATTCATTCACAATTTAATTCTTGTTTTTTGTCATCCTGAACCTTGATTCTATTTCCTCTCTCATACATGCGCATAAATAAAATTTGAAATATAATGATGTATAAGATTCTTATTGATGATAATGCTAAATAAATGTAGGAATCATAAATTATCCAAAAAAATTTTTTTGAATTGCCCAAATTTTTTTATGCAGATCCTCTAATTCTTATCTGATATGCCATTCAAATGATAATAATAAGACGAAAGTTTTTTGATTAGTAAGTACCGTGGATTTTTAACATTTACTTGTTTCTACGTTGATTATCGTTTTTTGCAAAATAACCAAAATAATTTCTAAATTTGATTCGTGCGCACAGACTAAGCATTATTTTATTGTTACAGCCAACTGTTTTGAAAAGAAGTGAGTGATAGGATTTATCCATTTTTTGGTTCCTCGTGATCGCCTAATGATGATGTAAATATTACTATCATTTACTTGCCATCACTATCACTCACTTGTTTATGATTTCATTATTATTAATACATAAAACTACCATATTCAGCGCCAATTGTATAAAAGTAACTTATTTAGATTTAGTTAATGACACAAATATTTAAGTGTAAAATTTAACTTAATCTTCGATCTGAATAAAATCTACCGATATACTAAATAGTTTAAATTGTATCCGCAAATAGTGTTGATCATCAACATACCGATAAAAGATAAAAAGATTACCTGAGAAAAAAAAATTTAACTATTTTTTTTTTCCTTTAAATTAAAAATTTAAAAGTTTAAAAGAATGTCTTCGCAGAATGTTGAAAATCCGGAAGTTATTATGAAAGAAGAAATAAATCGTGTTATGGAAGATGTTGATACTACTGTACACGAATTTGACCCTGACGCTCCTCCTGAAGTAAAGGCTAAACAAGTTCAAGAGAGTAGCGGTGTTGATCCTACTGCTGCTTCTAGTAGTAAAACTACAGGAGTTATTGAGGGTGATACTACTAGTACGAACCTTCCTGGAGCTTTACCTCATTTAGCAGTAGAGTCTGCTTCTGAAATTCCAGAATGGGCACGTATCGGTTGGAAAAATATTGTGGAACTTGATTCAAAGGCTCCAGAAAAAGTATTTTATGATGAAATATTAGGAGAAATGTATTTTGGTCAGCTTTGGTTAAATGCAGCTGTTGTTTTTGTCGCAGTATTTTCCACTTATTTTGTCACATTATTTGGTGGTGGGCTTGGTTGGGTTCTTATAATTTGTGCTTTTGTTGGTGAGTTATTTTTAGTATCAGCAAAAATTTGAAATTTAAAAATCAATTTTAAAAAATCAATCAATTAACAAATAAACAAAAATTAATCGATCATCACTTTAGCTACATATTTCAGAAACTCAGTTCGAAGATTTCATCGTAATGCACGTAGTGATATTGCACGTGAACTTGCAAAAGAAAAATTGGAAACTGATTCAGAAACAACCGAGTGGATAAATGAATTTTTACATCGCTTTTGGATGATATATGAACCAGTATTATCAGCAACAATTGTACAAATCGCTGACGGTATATTATTATCATCGACACCTTCATTTTTAGATTCTATTCGCTTGACAACTTTTACTTTAGGATCAAAGGCTCCTATTATAGAATCTGTTAAATCTTATCCAAATGCTGAAGATGATGTTGTGGTAATTAGTTATTTTATAATAATAACAATAAAGAATTTGTATTAATGATTTAATTTTTGAAAAGATCATGGATTGGAGAGTTTCATTTGTTCCAAACGATATTGCCAATATGACTAGAGCTCAATTAATCAAAAAAGTTAATCCAAAGATTATCCTCACTATTCGTGTTGGAAGAGGAATGGTAGGAGCTGGGCTTCCAGTCTTATTGGAAGATATATCTTTCTCCGGACTTATGAGAATCAAATTGAAGTTGATGAATACATTCCCTCATGTAAAAACTATTGGTTTGAGCTTCTTGGAAGAACCAAAAATTGATTATGTTTTAAAACCAATTGGTGGCGAAACTTTTGGATTTGATATTGCCAATGTATGTATGTTTGGTTAAATTGACTTTTTCGTCTTATTTTTTGTAATTTATGATTATTGACACACATACATATGTACGTGTTTCTTAAAGATTCCTGGTTTATCTGACTTCATTCGTAATCAAATTCATGCTAATTTAAGCCCAATGATGTACGATCCAAATGTGTTTGTTTTAGATGCTGAGTCTTTGGTTGGTGGTTACCCAATAGGTAAATTTGTAAATTTTTTTTTGATATATAAAATAAATTTCAGGTTTGTTTTATTAATTATTATTATTATCTAGAAACTGCTATTGGTGTTCTTGAACTTAAGATTATATCTGCAAAGAAACTTAGAAATGTAGAAAGATTCGGCACTTCTGACCCATATGTGAAATTGACGATACTTGGTCAAGCTGAATTGGGTCGTACTAAAGTGATTGATGATTCATTAGATCCGGTTTGGGACGAAACTCATTATTTAGTATTGAAAACATTAAGCGAAGTCTTGAAATTTGAAATATATGATGCTAATGAATTCACCGCAGACAAACTTTTAGGAATTGCTACATTTTCTTTAAATAGCTTAATTGATAATCCGGAACAAAATCAAGTGTAATTTTTTTAATACTTTGCTCTTAATTTTCATTTGAAATCCTTATAGTTGGTTGATATTTATGATATTTATAATATTTATAATAGTACTGCACAAGTTTTATTTGAGGGTAAACAATATGGAGAGATTTTGTTCAATGTTAAATGGTATCCTGTGGCAGTGGCAAAAGAAGGAGAACCTGTTCCTGATTCTAGTAATGTTAACAATATTTTTTACCTTTTTTTTTTTTCTTTTTTTAAAAAAAGAACGCGAAATATTAATTTTTATATATATATACATATATACATACATATTAAACAGATATTGGTATTTTACGTTTCACTATTCATCAAGCTAAAGATCTTAATCCAAATCTTTCTTTAGTTGGGCAGTATAATCCTTATGCAGAATTATTATTAAATGACAAACCAATCTTCAGATCGAAAACTTTGAAAAGAACGAATAATCCTATTTGGGAGGTAAATTGTAGTGATAATAATATATATTGTTTATGTTGTATGAAATAACAATTTTTTATTTTTATTTATTTGATAAAAAGGAACCTACCGAATTGTTTGTCACAAATAGAAAAGGCGCACAAATCTCTGTTATTGTTAGGGATTCACGTGATTTTTCTGTAGATCCAATAGTTGGAAGCTACAAGTGTAAATTGAGTACTATCTTGGAAGCTACAAGTGATAATGATTGGTTCAAGGTTCAAGATGCGCCACCTGGTAAATTAAGATTAAGCTGTCAATGGAAACCAGTATTGATCGAAAATCCTCATGTTGCTATAGATGGTATATATGGGTCAATCAATTATTTTTTGATTTTTTGATTAATTTGTTATTTTGAGCAATTAAATGTAACAAATATTTTTATATTAGCTGAACCTATCGGTATGGTCAAACTTCAAATTAAAAAGGCTGAAGATCTTAAAATACCAGGAAAATTTAATGGTAATTACTCTTTTGTGATTTTGATAATTATTAAAGTACAAATATAACAAATATATATAAATATAATATTTAGGCAAATATAATTCATATGTCCGGTTATCGCTTTCATCAAATCATATTGGACGAACTGTGGCGATTAGTGGCACACAAAATCCAGAGTGGAATCAAAATTTTTATATTCCCGTACATTCCGAGAAAGAAATTATATCAATACAAATTTTACATGGTGAACCTAATGGCTCTAAAGATAAAAAGATTGGAGTTGTTGAATTTGATTTGAAAGACTTGATTAAAGTTAATGAAGACAAATATGAATCTGAAGGTGTCTTTGATACGTAGGTGCAACTCTCTTTTATTTTAATAAATAACGTCAATAATAATAATATCAATAATAATATCATGATTTTTATTGATAGATCCAAAACTATTAATGATGAATTGGGAGGCACTATTTATTATTCAGCCAGTTTCCATCCAATCATTCCCCTTAATAATGTGACTATTACAGAAACGGAGAAAAATGTCGATTTAGCAGAGCAAACAGAAAGGGTCGAAGTAGTTGAAAATACTAATGTTTTGAATTATAGTAAGTTGCTTGTTTTCTTTTTATTTTAAGATAAAGTGAAGGATAAAATAAATTTTAATAAAAAAATTTTTTTTTAAAAAAAGCATCTGGAATTTTAACTATAAAATTTGTTCAAGCTAATATTGAAAAAAAAGATATATCATTGGAATTATATGTAGATAATGATGAATTCCCTGTTTACAATACAAGTCGTTCCAGATCTTCGAATCCTTGTTGGAATGAAGGTGGTTAACATTAAACATTTTTTATTATTTAATAATTGTAATTTATTATTATATCTTACGGGACTTTTGATTTTAGTTGCTAAAATTTTTGTGAAGGAACTTGGGTATTCCAGAATTAGATTATATGTCAAATCAGGAGAAGGGAAAAGACCAATTGGTACAATTGTACATGATATCAAAAAATTAATTGAAAAATCTCAATCGTCAACAGATGGCAGTTGGTTAAAAGCTCCTGAACTAGAAAATGCCCAATTTAATATTTCTGTGAATTATCTTCCCGTAAAATATGAATTGGATCCTTCTGAAAGTTTAAAAAGTAAGTATTTTTTTTTATTTTTTAATCGAAGATAGCTATAATTACAATAATTACGATATTTTTGTTTTTATTTATTATTAAGATATGGGTCGGTTATCAATAACCATCAATAGTGCTAAAATATTAGAAGAAGTTTGTAAATCAGGTAAACGTTATATATGTATAAAAAAGATTGGATATTTGGTTAAATATACACATCTATTTCTTTTTTACTAAATAAATATAATTGCAATTATAGGCAGTATTGACGCATATTTATTTTTTATACTTAACGGCGAAAAGATTTTTAAATCAAAAACAATTAAGCAATCATTAAATCCTGTTTTTGACGAGAAATTTGAAGCAAAAATTGTAAGTCAAGAGATTCAAAGGTTTTTTTATAATTATAACAACAATGATAATAATTTAATTCTTATTACTTATTACTATTTTATTTTTGATATAGTACTCGCTTAATAAAGCAAATTTTGAATTGGAGGTGATTGATTGGAATCAAATTGCAGCAGATGAGAAATTGGCTGTTGGAAAGATTCCAATTGATGATCTTGAACCAACCAAACTAACTGAGAAAGAGATCCCTATTACTAGTATCAAGGATCCAAAAATTTCATATGGAACTGTTTATTTGGAATTATTATTTACGCCTGATTTCTTGGACAAAGAAACACAACAAAGAGGACCTATTAATGGAGCAAAAAGAACTCTATCTGGAATTGGTAGCACGGCCATTTCAGGTGGAGATAAAATCCTTAACGCAGGTAGTAGCTTAGTTGGTACAGTAGGTAGTGGAATAGGGTCAGTAGGTGGTTTTTTTAATAAAAGAAATAGTGGTGGTATTGATCCACATAAAAATGGAGAAGTTACTTCAGGATCTATAAATCCCGAGTTAAATGGTAAATCTTAAAAAAAAATATAATTATAATTTCTTATTTAAACAATGGACATTTATTTATTTGTTAAAAAGTCTAGGAAAAATTTGTGTGTAAATATATATATACTTATATTAATAAAAAATGATTATAGGATCTAGAAAAAATTCAACTAAAAGTGTTAATCAATCGGAAGGTAATTATTTACGATAAAAATATGTGTATACGAGTAGAGATTAATATTGATATTGATATTTATTCATTCGTGCAAAATTTTATTCGTTCATTTCAATTTCGTTTTTATTTGTCTGTTATAAAATTAAAAATTTTTTTATTCACAAAGAAAATATTGGTATACCTGGTACCTTGACATTATCTATTCCTGAAGCGAAAGAATTACTTCCTACTAATAAAAGCGGTAATTAATATATGCAATTATATGTGAACGAATATATGTAGATATTATATTATGATTATGATTAAAAGATGGAATTTTGTTTATAATTTAGGTTTGAGTGATCCTTATTTCAAGGTTAAAATAGACAAAAAAGAGATATTCAAATCTGATGTGATAAAGAAAAATCTATCTCCTCAATGGTAACCAATATATATATATTCTTTTTTTTTTTTGATCATATTTTTACCAATATTCTTAATAATATTACAGGAAATCTTCAAAAGTTCAAATTCCAAATATAACTGGTGGACCAATAACATTACATATCTTTGTTAAAAAACATCATCTAGTTGGTAAAGATGAAGATATTGGAGAGTATGATTTGAATTTGTGGGAACATATTAAACCGGGTGCCTTTACAGAAGATACGTGGGTAAATTTAACAAAAGTTAATCGCGGTAAATTACATATTAAATTGGATTATAAACCAAAAGATGATTGATTGATTGATTTATAACATTGTATATAAAAAGACTGAAATAATAAAATTTTAAATTGAACATAAAAACAATGCAAGTCACTGTCGCTGAACCAAAATGGACTGATCTACATAATCAACAATTTTATTTGTTCTTTCTGTTCCCTCGAATAAGCCAATAAAAATTAGGTTTGATCGTGTAACAAGGATTAAATTTGGAATTTGTCGCGTTTAAGGGTACACAGTACAGTCAGACTCCTATCTAGTCACACACCTCGGGACCATAGTGAAATTTCAAGAATTTTGGTGACTATAGTGTTTGTGACTATACAGGACATGTTT